AACTAATATGTCCACAGGACACTCTTGTAGGACACTCTTGCGGGACACTCTGTAGGACACTCTTGTGGGCCACTCTTGTAGGAAACTCTTGTGGGACACTCTTGTAGGACACTCTTGTGGGACACTCTTATAGGACACTCTTGTGGGACACTCTTGTGGGACACTCTTGTGGGACACTTTTGTGGGACACTCTTGTAGGACACTCTTGTGGGACACGCTTGTGAGACACTCTTGTAGAACACTCTTGTGGGTCACTTGCAGGACACTCTTGTGGGACACTTTTGTGGGACACTCTTGTAGGACACTCTTGTGGGACGCTCTTGTAGGACACTCTTGTCGGAAACTCTTGTGGGACACTCTTGTGGGACACTCTTGTGGGACACTCTTATAGGACACTCTTGTGGGACACTCTTGTTGGACACTCTTGTAGGACACTCCTGTACGACACTCTTGTAGGACACTCTTGTGGGACACTCTGCGGGACACTCTTGCGGGACACTCTGTAGGACACTCTTGTGGGCCACTCTTGTAGGAAACTCTTGTGGGCCACTCTTGTGGGACACTCTTGTAGGACACTCCTGTACGACACTCTTGTAGGACACTCTTGTGGGACACTCTGCGGGACACTCTTGCGGGACACTCTGTAGGATACTCTTGCGGGCCACTCTTGTAGGACACTCTTGTGGGACACTCTTATAGGACACTCTTGTGGGACACTCTTGTGGGACACTCTTGTGGGACACTTTTGTGGGACACTCTTGTAGGACACTCTTGTGGGACACTCTTGTGAGACACTCTTGTAGGACACTCTTGTGGGACACTCTTGTGGGACACTCTTGTGGGACACTCTTGTGGGACACTCTTGTAGGACACTCTTGTGGGATACTCGTGTAGAACACTCGTAAGGGACACTCTTGTGAGACGCTCTAGTGGGACACTGTTGTGGGACAGTCTTGCGCGACACTCTTGTGGGACACTCTTGTAAGACACTCTTGTGGGACACTCTTCTGGGACACTCTTGTAGGACACTCTTGTAGGACACTCTTGTGGGTCACTCTTGTGGGGCACTCTTGTAGGACACTCTTGTGGGACACTCTTCTGAGACACTCTTGTAGGACACTCTTGTAGGAAACTCTTGTGGGTCACTCTTGTAGGAAACTCCTGTGGGACACTCTTGTAGGACACTCTTGTGGGACACTCTTGTGGGACACTCTTAGAAGACACTCTTGTGGAACACTCTTGTGGGACACTCTTGTAGGACACTCTTGGGGGACACTCTTGTGAGACACTCTTGTGGGACACTCTTGTGGGTCACTTGCAGGACACTCTTGTGGGACACTCTTAGGAAACTCTTGTGGGACACTCTTCTAGGACACTCTTGTGGGACACTCTTGCGGGACACTCTTGTGGGATACTCCTGTAGGACACTCTTGTGGGGCACTCTTATAGGACACTCTTGTGGGACACTCTTGTGGGACACTCTTGTAGGACACTCTTGTGGGACACTCTTGTAGGAAACTCTTTTGGGACAGTCTTGTAGAGCACTCTTGTGGGAAACTCTTGTGGGACACTCTTGTGGGACACTCTTGTGGGACACTCTTATAGGACACTCTTGTAGGACACTCTTGTGGGTCACTCTTGTAGGACACTCTTGTGGGACACTCTTGTGGGACACTCTGTGGGACACTCTTGTGGCACTCCTTGTGGGACACTCTTGTAGGATACTCTTGTGGGACAGTCTTGTAGGGTAGGACACTCTTGTGGGACACTCTTGTGGGACACTCTTGTAGGACACTCTTGTGGGATACTCCTGTAGGACACTCTTAAGGGAAACTCTTTTGAGACACTCTAGTGGGACACTGTTGCGGGACACTCTTGTGGGACTCTCTTCCAGCTCCCCAGATACTCCGCGTACTAAAGTTGTACTACAAGGTCGCCAGTTCTCAGCTTCCAGCTCCCCAGAAACTCCACGTACTACAGTTGTACTACAAGGTCGCCAGTTCTCAGCTTCCAGCTCCACCGGACAAATCGCACTCTCGCCTGCATTTTGCGCACTCAACACGCACGATCTCCGCAGAGGGTTGCGCGCGCATGGGACAAATCGCACTCTCGCCTGCATTTGGTGCGCTCGACACGCACGATCTCTGCAGAGGGTTGCGCGTCAAGTCTCCAAAACGAGGGTTTCGTACGAGACTTCCTCAAAAACTCACACGTCAAAGTCTGCAAAACGAGCGTTTCGTACGAGACTTCCTCCAAAAGTCAAGCGGAAACACCCATCGGAGCACACACATCACGCAGCCCTGCCAAGCAATTTCGCGTTTCCAGCCCATCCAAGCAACATCCGCTCACACGCCAATCCCAATGGGACAGCGACATTCACCTCTACCACAACTCACAACCTCACGATTCCCTGCGCCTGCCACGAATCTTTCCCCATCCACGTCTAACGCGCACAAAGTACTGCGCCTGCCACGAAATGTCACCTCCCTCACACCTCGCAACCTCACGATTCCCTGCGCCTGCCACGAGAATTGCACTTCCACGCTTCAAATCCCGCACGAAGTCCTGCGCCTGCCACGATAAGTGACAATATCATCGCATGTGAGCTTCAACAAAATTTGCACCACACCACACGTTTGGAATGATTTCGACCCGTTCAGAGCACACTCCCATCCATCAAAATCGCCATTTCAGCTGAGACTTGTCACGAAAACAGAGCTTCGATGCCACACCCTGAAACGCAAATCCCAATGGCACGGCCACATCCAACACCCCAAAAACACGACTCTCCAAACGCTAATCCCAATGGAACTGCGCCGTAATCTGCGGATCTCACAAAACGCTGCGCCTGTGCAGCGAAGTGCATCACGTTTCTTGCGCGACATGTCCGTGTCACGCAAATCACAATGGAATAGCGGCGCAAACTGACACGTGACACATCCATGCAAAGTCACTTGCAAAAGCTTCCCCCAATGGCAGCAAATTTGAGACGCGACGCGACGACAGACGACGACAGACGACGACAGACGACGACAGACGACGAGAGACGACGAGAGACGACGACACGACGCAAGCCATGCAAACACAGCTCCAACCCCCAGACCCCCAACTATAAACCCTTCGCTACGCATTCGGGAATAATGCACAGAATACAATGTTGTCTATTGAAGCCTCCATTCTTACATTCTGCTGAAAATACTCATCACTCGCAGCGCGCGTGAATGTTTGGATGGTTTCTCTGGTCAATACTGTCGCTAAATGTACCCTTTCTTGCGTCTCAAGGATAGATCAATACAGTGATCTGTCACTGCTTATTTACACATATATATTTATATATATTCACACCGCTTCTCCGTCGAAGCCGCCCGCACGGATACTTGCGCTCTCTGAACCTAAAAAAGCTGCTGCAGCAGCAACAACCAAACAGCAGGCAGCAGCAAAGCAGGAGCAAAGCAGCAACAGCAGCAGACCACCAAGCAGCAGCAGTAGAAAACCCAGCAGCAGCAACAAACAACCAGCAGCAAAGAAGCTGCTGCTTTGGTGTAAACCGTGGTTGGTGTGACCCGTGGCTGGTAAATAATGGTTGGCGCAAGCCGTGGTTTGGTTAAACGGTGGTCGCTTTAAAGGCTTGGTGTAAACGGCGGTTGGCGCAAACCGTGGTTTGGTGTAAACGGCGGTTGGCGCAAGCCGTGCTTTGGTGTAAACGGTGGTTGGTGTAAAGGTTTGGGGTAAACGGTGGTTGGTGCAAGCCGTGGTTTGGTGTAAACGGTGGTTGGCGCAAACCGTGGTTTGGTGTAGACAGTGGTTGGTGTAAAGGTTTGGTTTAAACGGTGGTTGGCGCAAACCATGGTTTGGTGCGCAGGGCGGTTGGCGCAAACCGTCGTTTGGTGTGAACAGTTGGCGCAAAACGCGGTTGGGTGGTTGTGGTTTGGTGTAAGTGGTGGTTGGCGCAAACCGCGGTTTGGTTCGCAAGGTGGTTGGCGTAAAGCGTGGTTTGGTGTATACGGTGGTTGGCGCAAGCCGTGGTTTGGTGTAAACGGTTGTCTCTTCCGGGAAGGCCGCACGGACAAGCGCACGCACGACGTCAATGTCAAGCGACCAGTGATAACGCCTCAGCACCTTCGACGCGGGCAGATTTCTTGGAAAAAATCATTTTCAGTCGGCTCATTTTTCTCAACAGCACTGTGGACGCTTACATCGGCCGTCGCCTTCGCAGCGCAAAAGCTAGAGTTGGCAATACCTTCACCGCATTCGATTCTGACATGGCAGTAATAAAATAGAGACCGAATTCAGGATGAACCAAACTTCTCATGGGTTTGGATCTGAAGTCTTGACCAATGGCCCTATAGATCGCGCTTCCTCCAAGGACCGCCTCTTGAGTCTCCTTCACCCTTATCTATCACTCTCTCTCTCTCCCTCTCTCTTTCTTTCTCTCTCTTTCTTTCTCTCTCTCTCTCTCTCTCTCTCTCTCTCTCTCTCTC